GTATCGATATTATCCCGTTCTTCTTTACATGTCAGTGGAATCATCACTCATATATTGTCCAATAAAGCCTTCAATAATTAGAGATATCATTCCACCAACAAAAAAAAAATTCCAATTTGGTACCTTACATGTATACCTTATCTCCCTTTTTTATTCAAACATTTTTAAAGTTTTTTCTTTCTCATTCCAATAATCAATTTTAATTTGTTTTGTATATATATTGCTTTTTCTTCAAAAGATGAATTTTATATATGGAAATTGGACAACAAGAGAGTTTCAGTTGCTAAATAACTAAATAATTAAACATTTCCTCGATTTGTTTTTTGCCCAAGATAATACTTCCTCCGTTTACAAAGATGGAGTTTTCTTTTTATGACATTAAGAATTTACGGTAATTGGGTAGAATAACATTATTTTTTATGTGGTGGTCTAGTTGTAACATAAATGGATTAGTTCTTTTGTGTTTTGGGTTCAAATTCTCTTTGATACAAAAAGTTACTTTTTAAATCGGAATATCGAAAAGCTGATTCTATTTATTAAAAAAAAAAGTAACATGAGCACACCACAAATTGACTCTCAAACTATTCATACATTTGGCCCATATATTGATTGACCAAGGTTTTGTTACTAAACTTCAAGCTTTTTTTTTTTTTGATTGAAACTTAGCTCTCTTTTTTTTTGCTAACAAAATTCGAGCTCTTTCATCATCAGCTAAATGTGATCTAATATTACACCATGTCACCATCCCTTCTCTAACAATCATCCGATTTAGAATGTTTTCTCGAACACCAAAAGTTGGGAGTCCCAATTTGTAGGAGTACGATTTCTAACCATGCAAATTAAGAATGGGAGTTAGGGAATTACACGTTCAAATTCATAATCTTGAAAACAAAAAAAAGGAAGTTTAAAACATCAAAACTTTTTCCTAGACTTGAAATTTAGATTATTTCTTTTAAACATGTGATATTTATTTAGTGGCAATAACAAATTCGGCCAATCGTTTCATATCCTCTTGATTCTATCTTTACTTCTTTCTCTTTTTTTATATAGGGCCTCTTGATAAAGCCGACGTGCTCGTTATCTTCATGCATGTTTTGATTTATTTTGTCTTCTCGTATCTTTTAAATACTCCCACGTCACGATTCACAATGGAACATAATCCCCACGTCACGACTCACAATGGACATGGTTAGCCATGATTTGCCAAAAAGTTTGGAATAAAAGGGTTCAAATAATGGTGGGATAAACTAAATTTTTAAATAATCAATT